CTCAATCATTCATATCGAAAACAGACGAAGGGAGCAAACGAAGCGAAGTGAACAACAGCAACAACAGCAACAACGACCCTCAAATCAAGCCCCAGCTACCAGCAGCTTCTTCCCCTCCCTTCCCGTCCCCTCCTCAAAACCAACCAAACCACACCCACAACCTACAAAAGACTACATCCTCTCCAAACCCGTCATCCCCGACCCCAAACCCCAATCCCTACCATCTACTCAAGGCCGACCACCCTGCCCCTGTCCCTGACCCGGCGCCCCCGAACTCTGCCCCCCAGGCGCGCTTCCACTACCGGAACCCCCACCGGAACCCCCACCGGACGAAGAATCATTCTCCACGCCCCCATCGGCCGTATAATAAGCGGCGGGGGTGATGCTGGACGACTCATCGGAGTCGATGGCGAGGGAGATCCACCCGAACACGCCGTCGCTGATCGAGTCGCCCAGCAGCACGTACTCGACAAACGGGTCGATGGAGTCGGCCTCCTCGGAGAGGATGGAGTCGTTGGCGTTGGTGGTCAGCTCCTGGGTGTTGGTGCTGTAGGGGCTGGTGGCCTCGACCTCGGCGATCAGGTCCTGGTCGAAGAAGAGCTGGCCCACGTGGTTGGCCGTCGTGCTGTACAGGCCGTCCGTCAGGGTGTCGTTGGTGTTGGTGCTGGTTGTGGTGTTGGGGTTGTGGCTTAGGACTTTTTTGCGCCGGTTAGTATTTGGTGGAGTTAGGGGGGGGTGGTTTTGAGGGGGATTTTTAAAATAGGGGTAAAAGATAGGACGGGCAGGCAAGCAAACTCACCGTGGATATGAGTCGCGCGACTGGTGTAGTGGCCCGGGAAGATGGTTTGGAATTGCACCACGCCTGAGTCGTCGGTTTGCTGGATGCCGCGCAGGAAGGTCGCGTCCAGGTTGGAGGCGTCGTTCGAGTTGCCGTTGCCGCTGGCTTGGATGCCGGAGTAGACGCCCTATTTCACCGGTTTTAGTTTCTTAGGGATGAGTTTGATCAGGGGGAAAGTAGGCAAAACGTACGGTGGCGTTGCAGTGCCAGAAGTCAATGTACACCTCCGGAACGGGGTCGCAGGTGCTGCTGTCCACCAGCTGGATGTCCAGGTACAGAGGGACACCCTCCTGGGAATCGACGATGTCGCTGCGGATCAATTCGCCGCTGACGTCTGATGACACTGTCAGTTGGAAGATGGCTGGAGGGTAAAGAGGCAGGAACACGCACAGTAAGGACCCTGGGTGACGTCCGGGCCGAGCACGCAGCTGGCGTTGGAGGCGAACAAGGTATCGTAGTCCTGAGTGTTCTCGGTCACATCCAACGAGGACAGGTGGGAGGTGTTGAGGATAGTGGTTAGGTCGCGGGCCTTGAGGAGAGGTGCACCTGTTAAGTGTGAGCATGCATGCCTCGTTCGTGAGTATAAGCTGGTGATGGGCCATGCGTACGAGTGGACAATCCCTTGCGACGGCGCAGAGAATCCAGCGTCGCCTGGCGACGGGCGATGTTGCTGCTCTCGTGGCCACGGGCCTTGAGCTTGCTGGCACACTGGCTCAGACCGCGAGCGTGCATGGGAGCACGCTTCAAAAAGGCAGCACGCTCCGCGGCTTCCGCGCGCACGTCGTGGCCCGGATGGGCAGAGGTCATGCCGGCTAGACCAGCTAGGCCGGCAATCACGGTGGCAGTAACGCGAACCATACTGACGAGGGGTGCTTTGCAGAAAGAGAGGAGACTGAGTGAGTGAAAGAAGGAATGTGATGCTGTTGTTATCTTCTCATGAGATGCAGCAGCCAGCGCCCGCTTTTATATCTTCTGCCCTTCTCCTCTCAACCTCGAAGTGACACGGATACTGACCATTCCTCCGTGATGCTGCCGCTGCCAGCCCCAGCTGACGCAAGCCATCTGGACCCCTGTCTTGCGCAGTCACCAGGAATAGCAATTTGACAGGAGTATAGCACGCACATACGCGCACGCGCATCCACAGAGACACAGGGCGCAGTAGACAAACAAGCGAGTTAGCTAGCAAACTACGGAGTGGCTAGCTCGATACCTGGCACAAGTGCTGTTAGACCCGCCGGCGGGGACAACCCCCCGCCAAGACATCACCACTTTGGAGGCTAGAAAGACCTCAGAAATCTGATCGATTGCCTCATCCGCTTCCTCTCCGCAGAAGTCAAGCAGAGATCTCAAAGGAACGGGCCAGACCCGTTATCCATCGGGGTAAGATCATCGGCCGCTGACGACGCGGCCGGGATCCACCCTCTCGCGCTTCTCGCACAACTAATCCGGTCACTCTCACAGGCACGAGGGTCCGTTTCGTAAGCGGATGGCAGACAGGCATGCTTAAAATTGACGAGACCGGGATTGGTCGACAAAGACATTTTGGGGTTCAGCCACATGTCTCATCAGTGGATGGATAGATTGAGGCAGCGGAAGATGGACCCTGCAGTATGCACTGTGTATACGGTACAATATCTTCGGCCGGCGTTTTTAGGGCCCTGGTGCTAAAGCGAAGCAAACAGGGTGAAGCACCCTTATCCAAAAAGATTTCTACTCTCAAATTCTAGTCAGCCTTCGATAGGAATGCATCCTCCATCCCACCTACAGAGAAACCTACTCCATTCTTCAACCAGTTACACGGGTATCCAGGATCTACCGCGAAAATCGTCTCAAAAAAAAAGAAACCAGATGGGCAGAAAATAAGCATAACCATAAAGTTTGAAACACACCCAACCACCAACGACCCTTGTTCCTGACCCCAACTCACCAGCAGTGCTCCACTAGCTTACGCCATCCTTCTGCAACCCCTCGGAGCCCCTAGGGCCCTAGGGCTAGCCCCCGTCCCCCTAACGGTCTTGGCAATGCACCGGGTGGATTTGGCTGCCCCCCCCCCCCGTGCCAAGCCTTTCTCTCTCTTTCCCCTCCCGCCGGAGCTGAGTAATTTGCCCCGCCTCATTCGTGGAATATCCTCGGTTGCTGGAGATGATCTGCACGGGTATACGTACTTTGGACGAGCTGGTCGCGTACATGTTGTTTATTCACGGGGGTTGTCCTTGGCAGGGCGGAGCAAAGTCCAGCGTTTATGTACCGCGCCCAGAACATATGAGGAAGATTATGCAGCACCCTGCGGATTTAGGGTTGTGAGTCAGCGGGAAGTCTATTTTCCAGTGACGTTGGCTCTTGGCTCGGTTGGTTTCATCGGGAGAAGGACCGGGGTTGTGTATGGATGGACTGTTGAGGGGAGATGAGTGTGATTGAAAGCACGCAGTTCATATGTGCTCCGACACGTGGATTTGCTTGGTGATTGTTGGATTGGAAAGCAGGGTATATTTCTTCAATCAGAGGACATGCATGCATGCATACTGGTCCAGGTAACGCTTGCATTATGTCTACTATTACTTATTGCAAACGAGGTCACGGTTCTAGTGGGATGGAGGGTGGACGAATCGGAGTCAAACAGGGTCCATCCTAGCCGAGGCTGGACGTCCAGTCGACCCTGAGTTGGAGTCATCCGGTGTTCCACCTTGGATCTGAAGGAGGGAACAGAAAAAGAACGGCATCTAGAACCGAGAGACCTGCCGAAGACGTAGTCATCCTTGGCTATACGTATCACATTATCTATGCAACAAAGAGCTAGGATCAAATCAGGTCAATGAAGCAATCAACTACGAGATGTGCTTGGTTCTGTGACCAGAAGCTTGTGGGATGCTAGAGGCGTAGCTTCATCGGCTATCCCGAGGCCTAATCCCAGCCCACGGAGTAAGTCGACGATGCTATGCCAAGTTATAGTGTAAATGTTCGGCACTGAAGTTTTGTACTTAGAATTATAGGACTTTATCCACTAGACCTATCGCAAGTAAAGACTTGACTATGGGTCTAACAGGTAGAACCCTTAGTAGGTCAGGATACCCAAGGCTATTTATTGTTCCAACTCCGAATCAGAAAAAATAATTAAAACAAATAAGAAACGATAAATCTTCTTCGTGTCTAACGGTGACAGATAGGAGATTTTCCCTCTCCGAGATTCCTTTGCGTACATAATAGAATCATTCTTTCTGACGTCAGGACCGGCTCTTCCTCAGCGTTAAAAAAATACACAGCTCAGCGGCAGGAACCCGCCAATCCATTTATGGAATGCTTTGGACCCGAGCAACTTCATCTTCACTTGGGCTCTCTATTCCTTCCAAATTCCACACTTTCTTCAACACACGTGGGTCATCCTCGGAGAGCAGCCTGGGCTCTCGAGTTGAGTTGATCAGTCCTGTCCAAGTTACACATTTCGAGCAAAGTAGAGTATATGTGTAGAATGCACTTCGACGGTGGCAAGCAGTGGACACAGCGTCGAGGACAGTAGAGCGCGTCGCCACTAGCCACATCCAACTCTGATATCAGAGAGTGAGCGTACTGCTCCCTCGTGACCGTCTATACGCCTTGCTAATCAACTGGAACGATGGATCCTGGCCCAGAAGACTTGTCGAATTTAAACATCTTTTTCTTTGTTTTTTTTTTCCCTTGTTCTCTCTCTCCCTTTTCTCTCCTTTTTTTGACTCTTCTTCTGACTTTTCTCCTCTTTTCCCTTGAACAAGATGCTAATTGGTGAAGAGTACAGACAGGGCATACATAACCGTACCTGTGCCGAGAGAAAGATCGAGCATCGAGCATCGAGCATCGGGAATAGACGACCCCAGACCGGTATGTGAAACCTCCTGCTACAGCGCCGCCAGGCTCGGGATCAGCCCCAGATCCTGATTTTGATGAATGTAGAGCATGATCGGGCTTCTTCAACATTACTTACTCTGCTCCGATGTCAATGTTGGCAATGAGAGAATGCCTCGAGCCCGAGTCCCGGAGGCACCTCATGTTGCTGGGAAGCACCTAGCGAGACGAGAAGAAGGTCCGAGTCAGTGCTCGCCCCGAGGGAACGAACCTGGTTGTAGACGAAATGATTGACTGGCCAAGTTGGTTAAACAGTAACGGCAAGAGTGATGCTTACTTGGGTACTGACCTGCCCAGCGTATTACGTGCTTTCCTGTCCGAGTGAGTAAGATGTTACTGGCTGTGGATTTCTAGATATATATGGCAGTCGAGAGAGGGGGTACGCTCGGCTGGCTATAATTCCGAGTTGCTCGGGTCGAAAGGATTCCTTCCATATTTGGACTCGGGCATGGAAATGACTACCTTATCCCCATGGCTATACTAGTATTCAAGGCGAGTGCTGACTTATCTCTTATACAAGAGGTAATGAGGTCAAGTGCTTCAGTCTGACCTTGTAGACTCATCGTCCACGGTGTGATAGAAGCAAAACACTTACCCTTGCCAAGCAAAGCGTACAAGATGGATATGCGCGAAATTGCCATTACATTCCAGCGGGAACCTACATACGCCACAATGAGCACACGTATACCATTTATTGAATGGCGTATCTACCCACATCTCTCTAAAACTCATCCCGCAGCGTACGGACTCATCTTGCGCAGCCGCTCGCCGAACCGCCACAGCAGAAGCGGCGCAGGGATCCCCAGCCCAATCGACACAAACGCCAAAAGACTATTGCCCCACCCGTACCCGAGCGCCTGGTACATGTAGCTCGCGAACAGGGGGAACCCGAAGCCGGCCAGCGAGCGCATGCAGGCGACGGCGGCCAGGGCGCTGGCCGCGAAGCGCGTGTACGAGTCGACGATGTACGTCTGCACGCACTGGAAGGTGATGATGTTGCCCAGCCCGTACAGCATCGCGCCGATGTTGGGCGCGATCCAGTGGCGGTGCGTCTCGGCCGTCCAGCCGTAGATGAACAAGCCGGCGGGCACGAGAACGGCGCCGAGGTACAGCAGCGGGACGCGGAATTCCGGCCGCCCGACGCCGCCGCTGCGGGCCTTGAGGCGGCGGTAGATGCGGTCGTTGAGCGGGGCGCAGAGCTGGGAGCCCAGCCAGAAGCCCAGGCCGAGCGAGATGTAGTTCAGCCCGCCGATGCCGGTGGATTCGTGGTAGTAGTCCGGGCTGGTCCACAGGGTCGGGAACGTCGCGAGCACGAGGTACATGGTGCCGTAGATGTAGGCGAGGTACAGCGCCAGCAGCTGCACGATGGGCTGCGTGCCAAGGAGTCGGAACGGACGCATCAAAGCGCTCCGCATCACCTCGCCCAGCGTGCGGTTGGCGCGTTCGTGTTCCGTCTGGTAGGCTTCATCGGACGTCTCTTTACGCAGGCGTTGGGCGCGTTTGCGGAGAATTACCGGGGCGTAGGTCTCGCGGAGGAAGAACAGACCGGCGAACTGGATCATGGCGTCGGCGATGGAGGTGGCGTAGAACACCCAGCGCCACGTGGTGTTCTCGGCGATGAATCCACCGGCAATGGGGCCGACGGCGGGACCGAGGAGCGGAGCTAGACTGTAGATAGCGACACTCTTGCCTCGCTCTTCGGGTCTGAAGCAGTCGGAGAGTACACCACCGCCGATCTAGCACGTAATTAGCGACACAACCGATGCCTAGCCACGATGCAGCACTCACTGCCAACGGGGCACTTCCGCCCAGGCCGGCCAAAAACCGGAAGACGATCATCTGAGCCTTGTTCTTCGAGAAGCCGCAACAGATGTTGAAGACGAGGTAGAACAGGTTGGCGAGTTGCAGCACAATCACTCGCCCATAGATCTCGGACAGCGGACCCAGGAACAGCGGGCCGACCGCATACGCCAGCACAAACACCGACAGCGTCATGCTGAGGGTGACCTCGTCCGTGATGTGAAAGTCCGACCCGATAGCCGTCAACGCGGGTGCAACCATCGACGACGACACCGGCGAGATGAAAGTGAAGCATGATACCGTGACCACGGCCGCCCACTTCTTCTTCATTGGCCAGTTCTTCGGATTGTCGGGGTCATCAGGTCCATTCCATGTCACCTAATAAGAGGAATATCAACTATCTAGATCCCGAGCAATACAAGAGCAGCACATACCAGCTTAGGATCATTTTCAGGCCGTGCCGTCCTGGACTTCTCCAACGCCGCCGCCGCCGCCGGGGGGCCAGCAGCTTCCAGATCGCGATCTCGCTCATTCACAATCCCACCGCGGACCTCCACAACTGGCTCATCGCTCTTCTCTCCATCTTCGTCAGAGTCCGTCTCTAGCGCATGATCACTGTGGTACACGGACTGATCATCCAGATGTTTTCCCGAATGAACCCTATCAATCTGTGCCGTGCTGTGCCTGGAGCTAGACCGCCGGAAAGACCCAAGCCTATATGGACGCTGTGGCTGGGTGCCTGGCTCGGTGCTAGATGAAGAGGACGAGGATCTCGACCGCGTGGATCTACTCGACTCGGATGGTGCAGCGGGTTTGGACATTACCACCAGATGAACTCACCCACACATGTCAGGGTGTATTGCTTGGCGGCCAAGAAACCAGAAAAGGACAGAAGAAAGCTTAGCGGCCACCAGAAGGAAAGAGGGAAAATTCGAGAAGCACACCAAGGGTAAGAAAAACCGGCGGGCCGCAACAGATCTGGGGACACTCCATTGTTATAAGCCCTACTACTACCTATCAAGGGAGATACGAAAACCCCGACAGTGGGAAAAAAGAGAATTCGGCGACCCAATTGGCAGCTACGCAGCAAGCAAGCAAGCAAGCAACGTGCGGTGATAACAGACAGATTAAGTCCGGTGATGAGTTTTTGCAACCGCAGTCCATGATTGTGTACTTCTTATTGGCTGCAGAGTGGTGGAGTGACTGTTTCCAGGCAAGAGGTGGAGAATGCGTTGCACCCGAGGCGGCCTGGGCCGAGGCGACGCTGGCCGAAACAGGCTAGAAACTGGGAGATGATAAGAGTCTGCGTTGTTGCGGTGACTGCTGGCTGCGTTGGTCATATGTACGTCGATATGATCGAAGGTTGCGGGTGGACCAAGTGATAAGGGAGAGCGAGAGCAATGAGTCGCAAACAGGGAATTGGAAAGGTTGGAGGAATGGCCGGATCGAAGCATTCTGGATGAATACGGCTATTCGGAACTCGGCACCACGTCACGTGGTTTATTCTCCGCCTGTCTCAGTAGACCACCGCTAGGCTCACCGCCCTGCTTGTCAGGCAGAAGTACCGGCTGACACATCCTCCATTACGTCACTGGTCAATCTTCCTCCGCAGCTCAACTCATTGAATTAGCACAATTGCTCTGCATATTCAGCTCTTCTATCCTCTTATGTACAGCCCTCTTTTCTCCAAAGCCGAGTCCACTTTGTTAAGCAACCTTAGAAAAAAAGCCGTTGGGGACAGTCTGACTACGAGCAATCCGAGGACACCTGGAAATATACAGGGAGTAAGATAGCGTCAACGATAGGCAGACACATGTAGCTACAACAAATCATTAACACATCGAGATATCAAACTTGACAGGCCTAGAGTACTGACTAGGCGCTATCAACTGCATTTTTTCGAATTCGCAAAATCATTTCACGAGGTTTGGATTGGACGCCACTAGTGAATGGATCAAATAGCTGCAGGGCAGCATTCAAACGTTATATACTTTAAGCATAACAAGATAGAATTAAAGTTAGATTGAGTAAGGTTGGAAATTACCGAATAGACGAGCAGACCGGATGTCTCCGCAGAGGCAGCAAAAACTAGGTTCAACATTCAACTGAGGCTGGTCGTCCCCGAGGCCCCGGTCTCCCATGTGTTGAATCAGGGCGATCTTGGAAGCCTATCGCATACTATGCATGATTTATCATGGAATTAATATTTAACTTGCTCTTGCTCGGTATTGCTATTCCTGAGATTGTGCAAAATGAGCCCTCCTACGTCCTACACTACGTAGTTCAAACATACTGGCGAGCCAAGTATCAAAAATGACCAAGTGACTGTCATTAGATTTGCACTCACCCAAAGGGCAAGTGAGTAATTAGAACCATTAGTACATAAGCGTAAACCCATGGGTATTCATCCGTCCAAATCCTAAAAGCACAGCAGCGCCTCACCACCTTCACTACCAACACCTGCAGACCCTCACAGTTCACTTAAACCTCCTGGTGAATCACCTCAGCCTCCGCCTTTTCGGCAACAGTCTTGTCGGTGATGCCCATCTCAGAGGCAAAAGTGCCGTGGGGCTTCCATCCTGCCGAGGTACGGGGGGTGGTCTCCTCCATCATCTTATCCACCTGCTCCAGGGTGAGACCCTTGGTCTCTGGGATGAGGAAGTAGGTGTAGACGAAGCAACAGGCGCACAGGGAACCCCAGATGAAGAACACCTTGGCACCCAGGTTACCCTTGTCCTTGTCGACCATGTAGGGGGTGATAACGGCAATAATCTAGTAAGGGGTTAGACGCACGAAGCCAAGACACATCGGGGTTGAAAACTTACGCAGTTCCAGAGCCAGTTAGAGGCGGTCGACAGAGCCACACCGCGCGACCGAACGGGCAGAGGGAAAATCTCACCGATCACGACCCAAGCACCAGGTCCCCAAGTCGAGGCAAAGAAGAAGATGTAGATACAGATGAACGAAATCATAGCACTGACGGCCGACTTGTTACCACCGTCAGTGACACCGACGATAGCGACGATGAATTGACAGATGACCATGCCCAGAGCACCCCACAGGAGAAGTGGACGGCGACCGATGCGTTCAATGGTGTAGAAGGCGATCGGGGTAGAGCAGACGTTGACAATAGTCGTGATCATGCTGATGAGGAAGGGGTTGTCAATGGTTCCAAGCTATCGGCCATGTTAGAAAAGCTCATGGTTAGGGAACGGAGCAAACTCACCGACTGGAAGAAGGTAGTTCCAAAGTAGAACACGAAGTTGACACCAGTCCACCTAGGCAAGTTAGTATGAGAGATTCAGATAATCAAAGCGTACTGGAAAGCTTACTGTTGCATCATTTGCAGGGAGGTACCCAGAATAGTCCGGCGAAGATTGCTGTTGGGAGTCCAGAGGCTACCACGGAAGCAGTTGAACCAGCTGTTGAAGTAACCACTCTGAGGGATAACCTGCATCTCATACTCGTGATTGGCGACAATCTCCGCAAGCTCCTCCCGGATGTAGTCGGAATCCTGAGACTGGCCGCGGACACGTGCCAGGACCTCAGCGGCCTTGTGGAGGTTACCCTTCTTGACGAAGTAACGGGGCGACTCAGGCAAGAAGAAAAGACCGATGCCGAGAATCAAAGCCCAGGCGATCTGGAGACCAATAGGAATGCGGTAGGAGCCCGAGTCGGTACGGTTCTCCGTGCCGTAGTCGACACAGGAAGCCAGCATGAGACCGATGGTGATACAGAACTGGTATCCTGACACAATGGCACCACGAACCTTGCGAGGGGCGATCTCGGACATGTACAAGATGATGATGGCGGAAACGAAACCGACACCAAAACCAGCAATGAGACGGCCTACCACCAACAGAGCGACACTGCTGGAAGCTGTCTGCAAGATGACACCGATAATGAAGATACCACAGCCGCTGATGATGGTGAACCGACGACCGAGCCAGTCAGACAAGTCACCAGCGATGAGAGCCCCAAAGAAAGTTCCAGCAGAGAGAATCGAGGTAATCAAAGACTTTTTCCAGGAGGGCAAAACGAATTTATCGGTGGGAGTAGTAGCATAATCCTAAGCCAGCTGGGGTTAGTGTCGCGTGACGGAGTGGATGGGGATCGCAGAGGCAGAACCACATACCAGACCCTCGAAGCGTTCGATAAAGTAGCGCATGCCCATGACACCACTGATATAACCGGAGTCATAACCGAAGAAGATACCACCAAAGGCAGCAAAGGCACACATCAAGTAGGCCTTGACTGTGACGGGGGCCTCGACCCGCTGGCCGTTCACCGTGCCGTCAGCCATGATGACTGGTAGGAGTTGGGCAGGCTGTGGTGATGTGATACTCTATGTAAACCAAGGAGGTATAGACAGCGAGATAGTCACAGCACGGGAAGAAGTATGACACAGGTGTCGAACCAAGACACACCAAGAGATGAGAAGTGTGAAGGTCGAAGGAAGAGAAGGAAGAGAAGGAAGAGAGTTGCGGTGAGAAGATGCACAAACAAACCGGCCGGGGGGGAGCTGCAGGCGTTTTTATAATCTGGAACCCCGATGAGGAAGGGGAAGGAAGAGGGAGAGGGGAAGAAGTTTGCATTCGGGCCAGACCCGGACCCGGGGAAGAAAGTGGATGGAAGTTGCCCACGGGGATTTCCCCAACCGTCGGGACCGTGAGGGAATGGAGCGAGAGTGCAGTGAAGTGAGTAGGTCAGTGAGTCTTCGTTCCTTCCCCGTTCCCCCATTCACTTGACTTCTTTTTGCCTTCGTCTTGCCCCGATTAGGAATGGACCCTTTCCTCGGTCAACGCCGCCATCTTCAGCGATTTGCCATCGTTCCGAGGACTGCCCGAGCAGACCCTCACTAGCTGGATATTCCAAAAATTGACCAGTCTAGGGTCTAGGTTGCTCTTCGCATTCCTTCTCGATGACCACCGCTCCCGAGTCCAGTTTGGAGCCGAGGGAGTCCAACCCTGGGTTTGTGTTTCAGTATCCACTTTGTCAAGTACAGTACTTGGAAGTGGATGGGGGGAGGGTGGTTTTCTTTTTTTCTTCCAGCCGCACATGGTACGACCGTAAGCATGGTTGGTACTAGTTGTCACTGGTTGGTTTAAGGCCGACCTACTATACTCCGATGAGTTCTAGTCAGGCCAGCCCAACCAGCGAGACACTATATACAGTACTCCCGTACACCCATGGAGTAAATGCAGGGTATGCTCACTAAGTGGGAAGAGTAGGTGTTTGCAGCAGTAGTTTGGGGTAGTAGTAGTAGTACTCCAGAGCAGTAGTACGGGGTAAGATCCCGATTCAGTCAAAAGGCGTCAACCATGTGCCAGGCGGGAGGTGCCTCGGGCTGGCTGACTGACTGACTGTCTGTCTGTTCTCTTCCAATCTCTCTCCCTCTCCCTCCAAGTTCCAACTCTATTGTTCCAGCCAACGAAAGGCTCGGGTCATAACCGGCGAGCCACTCGGGCAAGGCCCTCTCGTCGCTTGAAGAACCACCGCGGTGATTGGGTGGAGCGAGCTGGGGTCGGAAATTTTCCCCTACCACGTGTGCCGTCTGGGGGGGGGGGGAAGCAAGAATGAGGTCTCCACCAGCACGGGGAGGGATTGGGTGAACAATGCTGGATTTTAAGGTTAGGCGCTGGGTCGGGGCTAACCGACTTCAGCTCCAGCCCGGGGTTCAGGTACTTTAGTGACTGGTCTAGTCTCGTCTCAGACAGTCAGACTCTCCTCTCACTTCCCTCGTCCCGCATCACGAGTTCCAATCCGGGGTTGAATTTTTCAGGTAAGCGAAATGCCCAGACCTGGAAACTGCAACCCCAAGCCCAGCCCAGCCTGAAGCCCCCGGGAAACAACTTGCGTCTGACCACCACTGACCAACCACTGCCAAATTCGATTTACCTTACCATTGAGATGCTCTGTAACCTCTTGACTTTGGGGTTTGACTTTGAAATTTGCCTTCTGACATCTTAGCTTCTTTGTCATTAATCGATCGGATCTGACCGACGTGGTGTGCATGGGAGTAGTAGGACACGTATCTAGGATCTGGGGTGGTAGACGAGGGTATCGCCACTGCCTGGGGTGGGGTTCAGGTCGCGGAGAGCACAGCAGGCCCAGAAGCGAGAGAGAGAATCGGGAGAGGGGTGACATGCCAAGAGACTTGGCAATTACAAAGGTTGCACCCGCAGCAGCAGTTTTTTTTTTTATCTTTTTTCTCTGTTTTTCCCCCCTTGGCACCACCTACCCGACTTTCCCCCCTCCTCCTCTCACTCCTCCTCCTCTTCCCCCCCAGGTTTGTTGTTGGTCCCTCCCCCGTTCCTTTCAAATGCGGGGGGGAAGAGAAAAATCGGAGTTGAATCCCGTGCACTTCTCCCAAACTTCCAATCCATGGATCGGTTCCGGTGAGTGTTTTGCGTTAGGTAGCAAAGGAATATGACAGTCAACAATAACGTGCACTCATACCATTACTGTAAGCTAAGGTGGTACTGTGATCCCGCTACAAATAGCCTACCTACTCCGTAGACTACCTTACCAGCAGGATACGAAGGGCATTTTCCCTCCCAAGACCGTGGAACAGACCTCATTGGGCGTATTCGCGCCACCTCGTGTCTTGGCTGGGTTTTTGCCGTGTGGCACACACACACACACATTCTGTTTCTCTCTGTCACCCACGCTCCTTTCCGCCCCCAGACTTGTCCTTCCTTCCTTCCTTCCTTGCTGGCTTGCTTGCCGGCTTGACTGGCCTGCTGCAGTGGTTGAATTTTCCTTCCAAATTGTAAAAGTGGGAATGGTTTCGGAGTCGGGTTCGTTCCCGGAACTGCTCCAGGAATCACCACGCACCCTGTAAAATGGTCTGATGCGGTGTCATGATTGTGTATCCCCCCTTTCCAACCACATCTGGGGATTCCCTTGGCAATTTGAAGTCATTTCGGTCGGCTTCTCGCATCGAGTCACGTCGCATTTTCACGGAACCGAACAACGGAATTGACTAACTTACTGCCTACCTTAGTAAGTTACCTAGTAGTCACCAAGATCAATCAAGCCATTGGTGACTATCTTGGAACCCCCGGCCCTGAGTCCTTTTCCCCCATCAGACTCTCTGCACAACACACCAATCAATTCCTGGCATCGATCATTCCATGGTTCAGAGCATCGGAGGCAGGTAGCACCGTGACTGGTCATTACCCCGGGGAGGAAGAAGCCACCGTTTGGATGGATGCACGAGCCTCTTCCTCGCTACTAGGTACCTACTAGGCTTGCTTGCGCTGGCGGGTTTGCCTCTTGCCTTTTGAGTCCTGTAGGGCCGAACGGTTGGGTTGGGCATGATCCGGCTCGAAAGAACGCCAACGGGAAAATGACCAATTGCAGTTGGGGTTGCGGAGAAGAGACATCGTCCCCGTGTTTTGCTCCACGCCAGCAGTCTCCGTCTGTCCTAACCTGGCTCTTCTTGCGCTTGTCATGCGCATACTAATTTCAATCCTCCCATCCCGAACTTTCTCCATATTACTCATTACTCCACACCGGTACAGGTCTTAACCTCTGTCACGTCGTATTTCTTTATTCGTGTCTCAAGCGAGACTGCTCCCTTCTGTCTAGCATGTCCCCGTCAACCCCATGACCTAGACAAGCTTGCGCCAATCGATATGGCTTTTCCATAAGCTCCCTCGTCCTGCAAGTGGCCGCTGACCCACAACCACGCGACCAGCCCTTGCGTGCATCCTGGTCCCGTTGGCAATAGACTAGGTGGGATTGTGTGGCTTCTGGCGGGGGGGTTCGTTCTTGGACGGACAGCAGACTCGGCACTTGGTGTCGGATATCATGCTCCATAGAGAGCAAAGTAGAAGTCTTGGCTTAGACAATTGAGTAAAGCCTGTTTCTGATGGTTTCGGCCACCATCTCCCAACTTTCCAGCTTGGTGTTCCGTTCCAATCCCCCGATCCTGGAGCATTCCTTGAGATCTGGAATACCGAATTGTGACTGGAAAGACTGCTCTTTTACATGCCGATCATGTGAGTAGGCCATGAGATTCACCATTACCCACCCCGTGGCTGCCTCTCTGAAACCGCATCGTATTGGCTTTACCTGGCTCATGGGGTGGGAAGAGGGGACAGGTACTGACTCGTGTAAGCAGTCCTTTACCTATGGACCGTGATGCACGGACTGTCACAACGGCATGCCACTACCCGAATCCTAGACCAGAACCTCGAGATTGCGGATCCCGACGTGATGCCGAGAGAGACCGCTGCTCATTTTGCTGCCGATTAAGTAATCGGAATCTGGTGTTGTCAACCTGAGGACCCGCTCTTGCACGCGTTGTATCGATTGATTCCCAGTTCACTAGAGGATCAGAGAAAGAGTGGGTCGAGTCGTGTGCGTAATCCTTGACTTTGTAATGTCAATGCACGGACCTACAAAGATACCTTGGAGGTCTGCCCATTCCTCGGGGAGATGTATCGTATGGAGCTGGCCAATACCAGTTTCAGGGCACAGCTGATCTGTCGGGAAGGACTCCAGCCTGGACCAAAAGAGGAGCGCACGGCCACCCGGCCATGGGTTGAGTAAGATCATGCAGATACCGCTCTACCTCCTCATCATTCTTGAGAGTCGAACGTCCCGTGACCCTTGTCAACTGTTCGCTCAGCTGGTCTTCAAGAAGCTGCTGGTCCGACAAATCGTTCGGAGTGGTGGCCAGCTCGGCCCGGATCCGAGCTCGCAGATCGCCCTCCAGCATCTTTTCGGCTAGATGGGCGTGAAACGCTGAGCTATACGGCCCCTCGCAGTGCGGCCAAGCATGAAGCGCCATGATCGCTCGCCAACGGTCACGGAAGTCCGGTGATAAGACGGCTACCAAGAATAAGGGCGAGATAATCCCGTTGTCGAACATGATCGCCGGCCGTTGGGGGCCAAGTTTTGCGATGATCGCTTCGGATGTCGTAAGAATTTGTTGGCATTCAGAAGCAATGCTCGCGATGTATGCAGGTCCAGGGAGCGCGAAGGTCGTACGCAGACCCAAACAGAGCCAATGGAGATTGACCTTGAGTATGTCGGCCCCGACCTGGCCCCTGAGTCCAAGGGAGGCGTAATGTCGGAGACGAAAGTCCCGCATGGCCCGCTGAGCTTGATCCACCAGCGCGAGGAGTGTCAACTGCTCACGGTACAACGAGGCATAGAGAACGGGATCGTGCTCTTTATCAGACGGCCAGGCCCGCCTCATGTACGCATGCGTCAGTGTCGTGAGGGGATCAAGTGCCCTGCGTCCTTCGGCAACGCTCCGGATTGTTTGCCACTGTGCTGCAGTCGAATCCAATCGAGCCTCTTCCCGAATCTCAAGCAACGGTGCCTCGCAGCCGAATTGTGTCGAATGTATGTCGAGATGTCGCAAAGCAGTGACGATGTGCCAATCGACGGGCGATCCCTGTCGATTTCGGAACACCGGCTTACCCTGGCGATGAAGCTCATTCAGAATGCGCAGGCCGCCCTGCAGGTGCAGGAAGGCTGCGTCGAACTCCCTCCACACCAAATCCAACATGACAAAGAGGATACAGCAAAGCAGTACCACCTGCGGCAACAGTGGGTCCTGGGGGTTCCGTTGCCTGAGCAGGGCAAACGCGCGCGCCGCCTGATCGGAAGCGAATAGGTTCCACGGACTCTGCTGTTTCTGCGGGCGCAGCCCCATGCCGGTGATCTGACACTCCTGGTGAGCAGCCGCCAGCGCCATCGTAGCGTGACAGACCGCCGGGTCCAGCTGGGCCATCTGCAGCACTAACTGGTGCCACAACGGGGAATCAAATGCCCCCAGAATATCCGGGATCGTGCGTCTTTGGAAGAATGCGAAACAGCGTCGTTCATCGGCTGTGGTGATGCAGCGGATCTTGGTTGTGACCGTCAACGGCAACTGGGGAGATGTTACCCGCTGCCGTTGAGCGTTGTTTGGGCGAGGTAATGGGGAGGGGTCGTAGCCCTCGCATGTTCTTCCTGTGGAGGTGCAGTTGTAGCAATGGCCAGGGGTCTCATCGCATTTGACCCGACGTGCGCTTATCATCCGATTAGTTTAGATCCGATCATAAATGATGCTCATAACGTCCGCTAGCAAGGAGGACCCTTACCGGCAGGTTCGACAGCCCGTGCGCGACCGTGTGCCGCCTGACCGACGTCGCTTGTAAGAAAGAAGAGCTTGGGCTTCGCTGCTCTCGAGATGATACATTTCTTGTCACTTGTGAAAGATGGGGGAGAGGGACGAAGGATCACAACGGACCGGTCCGTTCAACAAAAACTTGGATGGATGGAGACTCGGTTAAGTTGCGTGTCGGTCCTGACCCCTAAGGAGAGTGGATGTGAGCCGGTCGCAACACTATCGCGTTAGGTTGGCGATAATTCGTCCTCGGGCCCCATTTCTACTACTCCGTAGTAGATACTAGTACTCATGTAGTTGGTGGATCTTCATCTTTTCGGACATTCAACCACTCGGAATCCATTTCCAACAAGAGCCGCGGCAAGTCATTTGTCAAGCCACGCTTGGCATTCTCTCCTCGTTGATGTTGACCTGATGAATGCCTCGCATCGAAGTCCATCTTCGCCCCTGGCCTTCGCAGTGGCATGAGGGGTGGGGTTACCCACCCAGGTGTGGTAATGTACTTGAATAATGTACTTGTAGGAAACATGGTGAGGCAACAAGAAGAGATTTAGGAGGAGAGAGAGATAAATGCTGATGGAAAGAGCAATTGGGGGACTGAGAAGGGAGCGGCAGCTGAGGCCGCCTCGGCTGACTAAGATCTCACTGAAAGTCGGTTCTCTGGTCAGGGAGCCGTCAATGTACTCGGTAAGTTAAATTGCAGTAGTGAGTATTGTTTCAGAATGTCCTCCGTGAGGGCTTGTCTATATCCTCTCCTAGATATATGAACTCCCTAAGCAGAATTGCTGATATACAAACCTCCGAGCCCTACAGGTCTCTCCCCAAGAGTACCCACGAAACTCCGAACTACCTACCAGTACCCCATGACCACCTCCCAAGCATGAGCGCAAACCCACAAACGCCGTACTAATGCATACAATGAAACATATCAGGCTCGCAACGCCTCTCACAAGCAAGTGCTCTAGGCCATACAGGCATGCATTGCTCCTAGGCTCAAGTCAATCTTTGTCATCATTCAGCAGGACCTTCAACTTCTCCAACTTGTCCTCGCACTTCACCTCCAGCCCCATGACCACATCCATACTTTCCTTCCTGGTGATGAGCAGGTGACACACCAGCCAGAAGTTATAACCGTTCTTGTAGAACCCCATGGAAGCCCATTCGTGGTTGGATACGGCACTTTGCAGCGTGAGCCAGTGTTCGCGCCAGCGGGCTAACGCGACGCGAATAGAACCCAGCACGGAATTCTCCGGTGCAATCTGTGACCGGAATTTGTCGGGTGATGCAGGATCTGAAAGCTGGGTGGGTTGGGGTGGGGACTGGATTTGGGGCTGGTTGGAACGCGTGACGGAGGCAAGAGTCATATAGGTATCTATGAAGGCGTAAAGGACTATGATATGATCAGCAGTTGAAGCGATGTCAAGTGCAGTAGTGTTTATGACGTACGGTGGATGAGAATGAACATGTCAAGGATATTCATGTTTGGAAGTATCCCACTAGGATTCGTCGAAGAATCTGGAGAGAGTGGGAATGACATGTTTGGGGCGTTCGATCCGTCGAACAGGCTCTGAAATGCTTCTTTGATGGTAAAGCCTCGAGAATAATGGAATCCGATGTCTGTGTATGGATGTTCTAGATTGAAAAGTGCCTCTTGGCAGGGAAAATCACAATCCATTTCCACATGCGACAGGCGACACGGGTAGTTCTGGAAGAAGCAGAAGGCACAGTCGAGAAGAGAGATAATGGAAATAGTTCTATCAGGATTAGCAAGTAGTTGCGATTTAGCATTTTCTGTGAGGCAATTACCGAATGCGACACTCTGTCTGGATCCATTGCTGCTCTGAAGTAACGTCGGGGTGTTGGTGGCGACACTTGGTAAGGTTCATTCGACGAGCGACCTTCTCGGTGAGTTAGTAGCCCATTCCCCACGCGCTATGCTGGTAAATAAACATACCTTTGTGATTTCACTAAATCGGTTCTCCATGGCTCGATTGTGCGACATGCGAGAGCCTGACCAGTATTGCACAATACATATTATGAAACCAGCTTGGAAGTTCAAAAACTGGACCCAATCGTCTCCCTCATGAGGGAAGTTGGTCTTTCCCTTGCAAAACATGGAAGCGATATCGCTTTCTGGAGAGAAAACCTCGGTTGAGAAAATGTAAAGCTCCACGAAGTCCAACAATTGCTTGGCAGCATATGTTTCCTGTTCATCATTCGAATACATAGCACCCATGAATACCAATCCTGCCAGCAAAGGCAACGGAACGGTATTCAATTGCAGCGAGGCAAGGTGGACCATGGCGCAACTCGGATGCCAGTATCTGGCATACATCCAGACAAACTTCTGGATGCGCGCTGTCGTCAACAAAAAGCTAGCATTAGCGGCCAATCGCTGCTTCGCGTTAGCATCCAGGGAAACAGCCCAGGCTCGCGATAGAATCGCTTGCGAGAGTGCAGCAGCATAGGGCTGCTCCGGTACATACGGCTGTTCGCTGGGATGCGTCACGCTAGATTGGCCTGGCGGGAGACCCGCGCTAAACTCAGACCCTGTACTATACTGAGACGTGCCCATGAACTTCGGTGGGCCCTCGAACGGACCGTTGAAGAAATCAAGAAAGTTATCGTGGAAAAAGGAGCGTGCCGTGGGATCGGCTTCAATGAATGCCGGGGCGATATCCAACTGATCGAGTCCCATCTGATAGTCCAGCATTGTAGACCTTGCTTCCTTTAACCCCATCTGAGTATGATATTTCATACCCCGGCTGCGGTCGCTGCAAGGAGGGAGCCGAAACTCTTCGGTAAAGCTGTCGGAGCCACCATTCAAGAGAAAGCTGATCGAACCGCGATCGGAGGTACCAACGTAGTCCCCGCGATTGTTCGATTTTGCGCCTGTGCCTAGCTCAAGACCATTGGTCTGCTTTTTACGCTCATTGTTGCACGGAAGATTTCTTTTCTGGCAGGAACCACAAGGACTTTGCCCGTCGCATCGCAGCTTCATTGACGTGCACTAAGGCGAGAGAGAACTCGAATTAGAAACCATGCGCTGACGCTCCAGAAGCAGACGGCAGGAAAGGTAAGGAAGAAAGAAGTGACTTGCCGACTGGCAGGCATGTCGTCGCCTGCCCCTCTGCCCCGTTTCCGGGATCTTCTGGTCTCCGCGCTTGTCGCAATCCGTGTAGTGGTCGCGGAGGTTATCACTATAAAAGGACGCGTGGCCGTCAGCAACAAAGCACGCGGAACTCGTAAGGCGCGGGGTATGAGGGACTGGATCAATTACAGCGCCCCGGGACATACGCACCAGCGCGCGAACGACTCATTGCAGAAAATGCATGAGTAAGGCTTGACACCGGAGTCTATCCGAAACCCGAGAGTTCGTCCAGAATCAGTGAATTGTGGTGGAAGAGAACCGGCCCAGAGACAAGCAATGACCGGGGGGTGGTGGGGAACAAGGGAGTGATTGGACTTACGTCGGAGGTGATGGCGTTTGAGATGGTCAATGCGCGTGAAACCTCGCTGACAGATGGTACAACAGAAATGCTTGCTTGAAGCAGACTTCATGGTAAGTAACTGGTGCGCATCGGGGAGAAGTGGAAGGATTTGAGCCTGTGGAGGGGGAGATGGGGTAAACGGAGGTGGAAATATGGGGTAAAGGAGGGGGGGGGATCGGGGCAAAGGGCAGATCGGGAGCGGGCGGTGGAAACTCGGACGGAGCTGGTGGTGATGATGCCAGCAGTGGAGACGTGCCGGTAAAAGCGCGCAGCAAGCCCGGTCGATCGAACCGGGAACGACACGTCTGAGTGGTAGTCTAAAGAGAGTGGAGAGGATTGGGAGGAGGATGGATGAATGTCTAGACTGAACAAGGTATTGAGACAGATGCAGTCATCATGAAACAACCACAGTACGATGGAAAGAGAAGAACAAGAGCGAGATGGATGGATCTTTAAAAAGAAAGAGTCTTGGTCGACAGACAGGTTGGACTCCGGGCACTGGACTCTGAAGTGATTGATTGATTGATTGACTAGATGGTGGTGGAGTAGTGTGTGTATTTCTTTCGTTTCTGCAGTTCTGCAGCTTCAGGCTCCAGGCTCCAGGCTCCTGGCTCATGGCTGCCGGCTCAGAGCTGTCAGTGGTTGGAGCTGGAGGGGGCTGCATCTCTTCACTGCACCAGTTCCAATTCCTTCCCGCGCTCGATAAAGTCGCTGGTTCGCCTGCACACGCTAGACCGGTTTGGTTCGCAGTCCCGCCCACCTACTCAGTGACTGCACTGACTGCAGTTTGTCCGTACACCCCCACAATTTTCTTCCACTCGAGCTGGGAAAACCGGACAATGAGACCGACAATTAAGCCTCGACGTTTACGCAGGGAAACTTTATTCCTCTCTTCTCTTTGCATTACTATTCACCTCCCCCACCTTCCCCCCCCCTTCAAAATCCAGGCTCCCAATCTCACCTCCCACGAGTGACGTCCCATTTACACTACCAACCTTGGTAACCATCTCAACTCCACTCTGTAAAAGCAGGACTGCCCGTTCTTGTACCTCTAGCGACTTGCTTGGTCAAACGCCACCAAAGTCTAACCCACCCTGGGCCGCCGTTACTCCCCCCAGCTCTCGAACTCACGCTAAACGCTGTACAACACGCTCGAATCATCCGGTAGGCTGGAGATCTCTGGTTAATAACTACAGACGGATCTTAATTGTGAACAGGAAGCTAGAATGCCATCATAGGTTATCAGATTTCCATAGAAGGGAAAAACAAAACAGCAGAGTTGCACGGGTAGAGAAACCAGCCACTGCCGAAATCAAACACCTCACCCCCCCTCCCCTTTCGCTTCCTCTAATTATTATTGCTTGCCTATCACACAGGCAACTGGAGGGAAGTCCATCTGGTCGTCGTCGAGATAGTCGACATTGATAACCTTGTTCTTCTCATTCATGGTCCACCCGTCGCCAATCCAGCCATTTGGGTTGTTGTCGACATAGTCATACGTGTAATCCTCCCAGCGTGGGTGCGCGAGCGTCTTCAGAGCATGGAGCGACGAACCTGAAAAGGTAAGAAAATGCACACAAATCACAAACTTCGGAAAAAGAAAGGGGGAATCTACGTACCAGGCCACAGTGCCGTCACTCGTCCATTCTCTCGCCCTCCTTTGTACCAGCTGCGGCAGCTCGAACTAAACACGGTGCGTGAGAAGTACTGGTCGCAGTGCCGACTAAATTGCTCCACGGCTTCTTTCCGGACACACATTGCGCGGATGTTGTCACGTTGCATCTTCTGTACACAGCACGTGAAGTAATCGATCTCTCTCTCTATCAGAAGCAGCAGGTTTCCCTCGCCCAGGGCCGCATTCGGGCCGAGACAGACAAAGTAATTAGGGAACCCGTCAACTGCTAAAGACAGGTAAGTCTCGGGCGTCTTCTCCCAACGCTGGGACAAGGACAATCCGTTGCGCCCAATGATGGGGAACCGGGGTGTGAACGTGGTATCGAACCCCGTGGCACATACTAAAACATCGGTGGGATGATGCACACCGTCTGCTGTGATGATACCATTCGAGTCCACCTTGACAATTTCGCTTGAAATGACGTCAACCTTGTCATCTGTCAGGGCCTCCAGATAACCAGGACCTGGGGTCAGACGGCGGCAGGCAGGAGGGAATGAGGGAAGAAGGTTCTCAAGGAGTTCCGGTTTTCGTTGCAAGCGTCGTTTCATATTCTGTGTGAAGACACTTTCAGAGCCTAGCTGCTCAGGGGTTCCCAAAAGGGTTGCACCATGGATAGACTGCAGCTCAAGCTCGATCTCTGATGTTGTAAGCAGCTGCCGAGGTAAAAGGTAGTTTGGAATCATTACCTTTGCGAAACTTCTGGTAGGCGTTGTGGTCCGTCTTGAATGCTGCAATATCCTCTGTAGAGAAGGAAACTATGATTGACAGGTCAACCAGGGAATCCTCTCTCAAAGCTAAGCAAGCTTACAGTTTTCGAGTTCAGTGCCACGCTTGTCAATCTGATTTCGGGCGAAGGTAGGTGCCAGCCAAGTGCGACCTCTGATATAATGGTCAATATGCGCCACTTTCGGCAGCATGCCGGGAACGATCTGAATGCCACTCGATCCGTTTCCAATCACGGCCACTTTCTGGTTCTGTCGGACGTCAGCCACCATTTCTCTTGGTCATCAGAAAACTGGGTTCGACTCACGCTATAGTCATATGACTCGTCCCAATTAGCACTATGCATCAGTTTCCCCTTAAAGTCACGGAGGCCCGGAATACTCGGCCACTTCCAATCGTTCAATGCCCCCGTAGCCGATATGAGCACATCACATTGATCTTGGTAGGTCGACCCACTTACAAGGTCTTTAACCTGTAGAATCCATTTGCTTGTGGCATCGTTCCACAAGGCCTCAATGACTTGCGTTTCAAACTTGATATGCTCCATACACCCATATTTTTCAGCCACACGCTTCCAATAGCTGTGAATCTCGGGGGCTGTGGCATAGAAGGCAGACCATTCCTTGTTGGGCTCAAAGGTAGCCTGGTATGTGTGCGCTGGAATATCTGCAAGGTCAGTATGTTAGCAGATTGCATCCCAGTGTATTCAAGTCTCCAACCATGAAATGGCAGGGGTACTTGCCACATGCACAACCCGGATATCTGTTCTCGAGCCAAGTGCCACCGATATCCGTATTCTTCTCGTAGATGCAGAGATCCAGATTCTGAATCCGTTGTCGAAGTCGGATCGAAGAGATAATGCCCGAAATTCCTGACCCAATTACGATGACTCTCAGCGAGCGGTGCTCATCAACAGCCCGCTCTTGGACAATCCACTCATTGGCTGGAGGCGCCGCAGCACTATTGTGGGAGGTGAATCCAAATAGTTGCGACCATCGTTGTATCATGGCGGATATCGAGACTAATTGACCGTGTGCAAAAGGAAGTTGTTCTGCGAGGAATCTAAGAGGGAAGCACTGAGCTTGGACTATGCCTATTTATTGCCCCAATCTTAAGACGAACGGTCGCTTCGAACGAAGCGGAGCTACTCTTCCTTGTTCGGGCCTCGGGGAGGGGTTTTCGTCTCCACGAGAGCTAAAATAGGTGATGGGCCCCCTCTTTTTCTCCTAGGGTGGTAACACGGACGTTATCGCAGATTGTTTGCGTTACACCGTTGACGCAAAGATATTAGCCCCGACTGGGAAGGAGCGAGATAGGCGGAGCTATACCCACTCAGCTCACGGGAATTCCCCCCCCCTCCTCCCTCCCCAGCATCTGTTAGCTTCGTCGAAGACAGTCGACGGCCTGGGCCTGTCAGTTGGGACCGGGGGGCATGAGATTTAGCACCTATAGGTAGGTCTCTGGGTGGGTGGGTAAACCCGGACTTCCCCCGGTCTCTCGCTTCGTGCAATGGAATTCACGATGTTCAACCGGTAAGACCCACCTCCCGTCCCCCCGCCAAAGATAACCGAGCTTCACATTCGGACGGTGGGGGATGGGGACTGGCTTGCGGGACAGACAAATGAGGGCGCTGGTTGGTAATCATACTATGTAGAACAATTGACAGGGATCCCCGCACACGGAGTCCATTATCGTGGTCATCTGTCAAACCAATCATTCTGCCTCGTTCCGAACGGATGACAAGATAGTGGCCATAATGTGTGGAAGAGGCGGCTTGCCGACGAGTTAGCTTCCTTCGCAGACTGAGAAAATAGTGACCGTGGTAAATACCTTCTCCTTTGAGTCCTAGTCCACATCAAAAGCTTGAGTAGTTGAGAGACTGTCCCCTCATGACAATCTTCTCAGCATTAGGGCATTGGTCATAATTCAGCCGGTTCACAATGTGGGGATCTGTACAGTTGCGCTTCTCCGGCGATGACGGATCCGACAGATGTTAAGTAGAGTCTGGAATCTACCTCGGGAAACCCCCGACATATGGTAGAGAAGCAATTAATTGGGTCTGAAGATGCACTGTCCTGCATGAAATGGGGGATTCCCGACAGTATATCCAGCACCGGGGGACGATCGGCTGTCTGGATCAGCCTGATCGTCTACCTTCGCTAAGTTACCCGTATTTCCGTAAAGCCGTCTGCCTTGCAGGACCCAGCATTATTGATCGTATCGGAGGTGCCGGCCAAGCTTACCCCGTAATTTTTCTCAACATCCCCAGGTTTTCCCCGCCGGCATCTCTCTCGAGGCTAGGCGGCTCGGAGAAAGCGGCGGCAGCGATGATACCAAATTTGTTCTAGTGTGTTGTTGTTTTGTGACATGGACGAAGATCTGCCCTGTAGAAAGATGGAAGTATACTCTGGCGTATAGTGTATTGGGTTGATACCTTACGGCGGTTGTGACGCGTTCCCGGTTTGCAGTACACGAATACCGGTATGTATATACACCATACGTGGCATTGAATGCCCTGAATTGTCAGTAAGTAATTCCGCATGGTTGGAACTCAGTAAGCATTGAGTAATCCAGCAACCGATCTCAGGCTAACTGCCCGGCACGTAAACTGCATCGATGCCAGGAATGCATCTCAATGGGCCGATTGCCGACCTCAAAGTCTTGCGTCCAGA